TACATAGCCAACTATCCGGTGGTAATTTTTGTATTTATTAATTTTAGAATATAAAAAATAATGGAAATATTCCTTAATACCGTGAAATATTCCTAACATTTGTTATTGGAAAAAATAATCTCCTCAAATTTTTATTCGTTTATCAATTAAGGGTATAAATTTAAACTCTATACAAAATTTTTTTGAAAAGTATCTCTTATTTGAGTTTACAATATTTTAATTTTTTCCTAGTCCTTTAAAAAAAAACTCTTATATAATATGATAAAGACTTTATAATCTCTATTTCAGTTTAAAAATTACATCTTTCATACATTAAAATTAAAATTACTAATAAATGACATTTTTTGTCGGCATAATACAAAGATATTAGAATAATTGTGTTTTACAGATTTCAAAATGACTCCAAATATTAATTTAAATTCTTTTTATTAGAAAAAAAAAGACCTCTCAAATCATGTTTTTGAATGTTCATGTATATTGTCTTGCATTTCATGTTGATTTACGATCGATTTGTTTTTACATAGGCTCCGACTGATAGCATATGGTATCAAAATTGAGGTGCAATAAATGTTAATATAATTCAATGTAATTTGCAGTAGATAAAACGTGATAGAAAATACATATTTATATGGTGAGTCTGCTGTAAAACATGAGTTAATATTCTTATCGATACGATTGATTTGTAACTTTTTTATTTATTAATTGCAATATGTATTATTAAAAAAATAATTAAATGTAAAAACTAGATATAATAACACTTCACTACAAAAAAAAATTTAACTATACAAATTTACTATACAAATAATTTTGTTATTGGACCCATATTATCTTTCGATTCAGTGCGTCAACTAATTTTTCTGACAAATTCCTGGGTAAATCGAGCTATGTACTCTTCGTCGCCCGAAAATGCTTTTTTAACATTGCTTATGCATATAAGACGATCTCACATCTTACATGCCCGTTTAATCCCAACAATCTCTTCTTCAATCCTATCGTATGTAAAGAAGTCTTGAACTCCTTTAATATAAGACAACACCACCAACGTTTACGTGCTTGTAACACGTAGCCACAAACGCTGCCTCCTGATACCTCACCAACCAACCTATCGTGTAGAGTTCATTAACTGTCGCGTATATTGAAGCGGTTTTTGAAACTTCTTTGAGTTTCTTGCATGTCCTCTTCTAATGGAACAAATCTCTTACAGAGTTTGTGCTAATGTGATGAAAATCAATCTCTTCTCATGATCCAAAATCATCATTCACATGTTATCATTTAATTGGATTTATTTGCTAAAAAAAATTAAAATACCACATAATAATTAATTACAGAGTATTTGATTTGTTAAGCAAGTAAAACTAATTAAATGATGATTTGTTAATGTAAATGAAGAGTCAAATCAAACAATCTTATTCAAATCCAG